AATTAGATTCAAATTGCCAAGAATAGTCATAATGTGGAAATGTGATTTTCCACCTCATTGACACATTTGTACTCTTGCTTGAGCAAGTAGCCTAGAGAAAAACAAATTCATGAAAATAAATCCTGTTAGAGAGAGAACTGAGAACTGTCCCAGAGAATAGATCTGCGTGCGAGAAGAGGAGCTGTAAGGTCATTAGATCTACTGAATTTTAGGAAGGAGAAGTGTAAGCGAAGTTTCAAACATAGAAAGAACAGTAGCAATCAAACTACCTGTGACTAATTTTCTGAATCTTAGTTTTCTGGGGCTGGTTTTGATCACTGTAGAATCTCAGAAGGGCTGGAAATCTCCCTACTCTACCACTGCAGTTGTGGGTGGTCTAATGATCACTGTTGACTTCTACACCAAGAAGACTACAAGAAGTTACCTGGCTTGAAACTCTCCCAACAGACAAAGTATAGTGTAGAATTTAAACACAGCAACATTAGCACAGGTGTAAAGGCTTTCATGCATTAAAATAATAAAAGAAGAATGGGGCAAGAAATGAAGCTTAATTGAAAAGGACAGAGCAAGCACTGGAAACCACTTGTACTCACGACAGTAACAGAGCCATGGTGAGAGACAGCCTCTGTCTGTACATGCCCAGTAGGCCTGACATCAATATATGATAAAAGTAAATACATAAATAGACACAAAAGCAAAACATAAGAAAAGACATGGCGGAAGTACAGTTAATACGTTTGCCAGCATGGCTTTCAAAAGAACAGAGCACATCAGGCAATCTTCGTAGATTCTTTTTTTTCCTAAGAAAATCACATACTTAACAGAGAAAAACAAAGCACATGTCACTGTTGTTAACCTCTTTTATACTTAGCAAGAGCAAAGACAAATATATTGTTAGTAATTTGAAATGTTTATTCTCTTGGTTTAAAATACACCTTTTTCATACCTTACCTCTATATGCTGATGTTTTAGCACCTCTGCTTTCTTATTCCTGTCATTCCATCCCAACTCCACACAACATGCCGGTGTTCTTATGGAAAATTTCTCCATTTATTTGGATTTGGAATAACGTACTTGCTTCAATACTACCTGGATTTTATTTGTAAAGAACAGTTTAATTGACTCAGACATGACTACTACTCCCCCCTGTTGAAAGGATTGTAAATAACAAGTTAATAAAAAATGAAAATGATTCCAATGTGGGGTAAGTATATAAGAAATAATATTAATAAATATATTCTGTAGTACTTTCAAGAGTGACTGAGAAAATGGTACTACTAATGAAAACTTAATTGGTAAGATGAGATGTAAGGTGAATTAGGCTTTATATAATCCCATGAGGCCAATTCACTACCAGTTCCACATTCCATTTTCTTATAAATTCTCAGTTTATAGAAAGGATGTATCAGTATTAACTATAAGTCGATCATAGCAGGGCGAGAAAAAGAAACTAGATTCTTATCTTGCTCAGTTGCATTTACTGAGATCACTAGATTTCACCAAGTTGCTGCTTAAAAAAAAAAACTATCAGCAGATTCTTTAATATAGAAAATAAAGTGGTAAGCAAGGTTAAAATGTTCAACCTTTTCATTCATAAATGATGCAAAGTAGGCACAAATGTCCCCACCAAACTTACACACATAGAGAAAAATCCTACCAAACTAATCTTTGTTGAAACGTTTTCAAGTAAACTCTGGAATTTAGCTAAAATACTATTAGAAGCACTACAATCCTCCAAGACCCTGGAGATTGCAGGAGCCACAAAAGATTCAGGTAGTGAGCAGAAGGTGCAAACCAGGTAGAGATGGACCATAAAAGACTTTAGTGGTCAATTAAACTAAAAATGTTTAATTGTTAGAATTACTCTAACAATTGAATTATGACATTAACTCAACAAAAGCTTCCAGATTTCTTTTAAAGTCTGCAAATCCTTGTTTACATGTAGGATCCATTCTTCCATGATACTTAAACATATCTGAAGTCTGTCTCTCCATAGCTATCATTTCTACATTTCAAGGAATGTTGAATGCAAATACAGAAAGAAGTGAAAAATAAACACTTGATTTTATGGAAAATGAAGTTGCCATTTGTCCCCTTTCCCAAACTTTCCATGGTAATCATTCCTTCTGTGCATGCCTCACTGAAGGCACTTCTCACTTTGATTACTTGCTTCAATATCTTTCTGCCCTTCCACACTTTGAACTCCTGAAGACAGAAATTCATTCACCTTTGTGTTCACAGTACCTCAAGCCTGATATATTGTAGGAATGCAATTAAATATGCAGAAACAAAACATTTTGTTCTGTTCATGTCACTTACTCTTCCAGTGTGTCTTTTTTTTATTATTATTTTTAAGAGCCAATCTCATACTCTTTGTCCTGTGTCCCACAATTCAAAATAGCTACAAGATTTCATCAATATTATGAAGATTTGATTCAATTTAATCAATATCAAAGTTGTAATGTCATTCAGCAGAGCACTGCCTACTAGTATTTGGGTAGTTGTAGTGATTGGAACTAAAACATAAAATCAGTTTAGTAAAGATTAAAGTTTTCCTCATTTCCTCCTATTAAAGTTGATAGCCATCATCTGAAAAGTCTTGCTGAACTAATCTTCAAGGTATTTTAACTGGTAATTTAGGGCAGGAAGATTAATCTGTATGATGCTAGAATGGTGGATACCTATTAGTGTACATTTATAGAAACCCATGGACTGTATGGCACCGAGAGTGAATTCTAATGTCAGCTGTGACTTTCGATGCCAAGGGCGTATCAATGCAGATATTGATTGTCACAGATACACCACAGTGAAGAGGGATGTTGTTAATCGTGGAGTTTGGAGTATGGTGAGGAGTGGAATAAGTGGGAACTCTGTACTTTCTACTCAATTTTATTGTGAATCCAAAACTGCTCTAAAAATAAAGTATTAGTTTAGGCAAACAGAAAGCACTAAGACTCATAAAGTATTACTTTTCTTAGGGCCCCAACTTAAGAGTGAATAATTCCACAGAGAAAAAATAAAAGCAAGATTGTTTGTGAAAGCCACTACTTTTTCTGTTGTTTTTTCTGAAGTCCTTTACATCTCTACCTAAGTCATTAATTCAATAAAGCTATCAATTAATAGTTTGTCTTTTCTTAATATTGCTCTTTTAAAAAGGGACAGTGTGTGACAGTATGTGAAATCCAAAGGGAACTCTCAATGCTCTGCCATGGGTTCCTCAGCCTTCCCTGATTACTGGACTAATGTGCCTTACTCTGGCAGAATTCAGACTTGGCATGTTCTAGTAAGTGACCTTGGAAAGAGCCAATACTTCCCAAACTTATTTGGTCCTCTAACTTTTACTTCAGCTCTTCTTTCTTGCAATGCTTATGAACATGCAAAAGGACTATTATCGCAGAAACATACTTAGGAAATTGTATATTTGGATGATAACATAGTAGGCTGTTAAAAACAATCTTTGAATAATTTTCTCTAACATAACCTAAACAGAATTATCTATAGCAGTGACAGGTTATCAGTAAACAAACGTGAGCAATGCTAAAGATTTTAACAGGAAAGTAACCATGAGCTGAACCACAGGAAGTAAACAAATGTCTTTATGTCATCAGTCTTTTAGCCTTATCAATTTTGTTTTGGTCACTTCCAAAGAGGACAGCTCATCTCACTAATCTCCTTTCTTAATGGACTATGTTATCTTTTTAACATCAAATGATGCTACTACATACAATATGTTCATAACTGTACAAGTGGATTTTGTAGTACTCTAAATTTGTATCCTTCAAATATTATTTATTCTAATGATAGACTCAGGACAGGAAAATTAATGTTCTTCACATTTTGAAACAGATCTACTTAATACCACCAGAAGCCTCTCTTAGTAAAAACTACTATCCTCTCAGGGGCAAAATCCAAAGAAGGTTTAAGGTAAACAGGGTACTTTATAAAAACTCACACTCTATGTAAACTCTGTAAGAGCTCATATTGCACTCATGCCTCTAATCTAAGTAATAAGTCATTGAGTTCCTTGGATTGTTTTTTAAGACTTTAATCTTAATTAGAGCTAGACTACATCTCTCCAGAAACACTGCCAAAATTTGAAGATCCTCACCCAAATAGTCCAAATTATCGATCTATCCAAGTTAATTCTCATTATGCTTTGAGTGGTTTTGCTCCTCAAACACTGTGTGATTCTACAGTATAAAACACTTACTTGTCACGCCATATTCTATATCAACTATACTTTTGTGTATAGGTTTGCTTTTAATTGTACGTTGTTCTTTTCCTAAATGCAAGCAATTGCAATTTAATATTAGTTATATTCTTAATGTATAGTAAGACAATATTAAAATGATGTACCCTTTAAAATCATCTTATGCATCACCAGTAGAATATTTAGGGTACACCTGGGAAAATGTTAACATGAAGATTTCCTGCAATGGAAATAAGAGATGGGGTCAATGTGGGCAAGGTAAAGAAAGTTTCTCATGCTCTCCTTCCTACCAGATAGGTGCAAAAGCAATCAAGCAGAAAATGTGTGCTTATACTGCTTCCTGGAGAAGAAAAAGAACGTTTAAAATATTGTAATCAGAAGATTTCATAGTCCAGGACTGTCCAAAACATTGGGAAGGGGGTACAACTTTACTGTTGAGTTTCTGTGTTAAACAATGAATATACCAAATGAAACATTTTGTGGAAGATACAGTTTTCAAGAAGCATGAATCTCCTCAAACCAAAAACAGACATTGTAAATGCTTGAGACATGGGGTACATGACTGTGTGCCTCTATATTTTGAATTTTCTTTCTTTGTAATCAAGTGACCTGCTCTCATTTGGTTAAGTTTCAACCACAAGACATCACTGTACACTTTTTTTTCAACATACACGTCACGACACACCAAGAAAGGAGGAACTTCCAGTGTCTGTGGTAACATCACTTGATAAACAGCGCCTGTCTGCCTTTACTATATAAAGCAGCAGGAACGTTGACTAACAGACATTTGCTGTGAGAGGACCATGAGAGCAGCAGCCATATCCAAACCAAAGCTGGACACAATGCCAGGAATGTTCTTCTCCACTAACCCAAAGGGCTTGAAAGAAACTGGTCGTTCACTTCTAGATGACAAAACTCAAAAACGGAGGCCAAAGACTTTGTAAGTGCATTCATGTCTCACTCAGATTATCATTAATGGCAAAGGGATTGTGAATGGAAGGCAAAGACTATGTGTATTTAGTTCAGCCAGATCAGAGCAATTACCTGTTGTGACTTATAAGTAAGATTCTTTTGTATTAAGAAGTCACTTATATTCCAACATTAGAGTATGTGGGAATCTTTCCAGACATTGACTCATAAAACTGAGCTCTATTTTAATATAGAAAAATGTTGCATCAGCTATTTTTATTATTGCTTTATACCTTGGCAATTTCCCAGTGCTTTCCTTTTGCAAATAAAATTAATTCCACTGGAGAAATATAAATGTTCACTTTCTGTCTTTTGTAGTGGAATGGACATGAGAGCATACTTGAGATCTATGATCCCACATCTGGAATCTGGAATGAAATCTTCCAAGTCCAAGGAGATGTATGTATAGGGAATTATTATTATCATTTACAAGAGCAGCCTAGAAATTAGCTCTCTATCCTAGTAAAAGGTTAATATTTCATGCATTGTGCTGTATTTCTTTTATATAACATGCCAAACAAGATTAGAATATTTTAATTACTAATTTACCAATGTAAATTAAATACAAACATATATGCACATATTTACTATTTATTTTCACTGTCAGATTTTATCTATTTGGATACTTTTCAAAATTTCTTAGCAGATTTTTTCATAAATATAGTTATTATAGGGGACTTTTATACATAATTGTTAATGAAATTTATTAGAATTAGCTGGGCATGGGGGAACATGCCTGTAATCTCAGCACTCAGGTGACATAGGCAGGAGGATTGTGAACTCAAGTCAAGCTTCGGATACATAGTAAGTTCCAGGCTAATCTGGGCTACATAGTGAAACCCTGTTTCAAAAAAATATTATGAGAATAAGAATCTTAGTTTATGAAATTATTAAATTACAGCAGCCATTCTTATCTCATTGGGTTTATACAAAAATATTTTATTAATTGATGTAAATTTTGTTCCCTGCAGACTTTCTGCTGATGAAGTAATACAGTGGTCTCAGTCTCTGGAAAAACTTCTTGCCAACCAAAGTAAGCATGTGTCAACTCTTGAGTGCTTCTGGATTTAGCTCTATACCCTAATAGAGTGAATGGCTTCATTAAAATATAGTGTTCTCTATATGACAGTGTGCCAAAAGTCATATTCTAGTTTTGTGTAGTCATTGATAGCTTCAGCAGGTTACACCTCTTCGTGATAAAATGTTGACTTAGCTTTCAATTTTACCTCCACCCTTGAGACATATCTGCCAAAAAGTTAGAGTTTTTATGTCATTATAGGAACAAAATTTAAATTATGCCGGGTTTCTGAAGTTTACAGCTTTTAAAAGTAAACCAACATGAGAACTGCCACTTTGATAGCTGCCAAAAGAATGTGTCTTTTACAGTTGGATGTAAAAAGAAGGATTCACTCATTCAATTAATGTTTTATCATTCATGTACTCGTCTACTTGCTCCTTTGTCTGGTAGGCATTTTAGAGGCAGCAAGGATTCAAACATAAAGACACAGTCCCTCAATATCTTGAAGGTGGTCGGGACACATCAAGTAAATAATTGCATTGTATATCACACAATAAATGTTTTAACCTTGGTAAGATATAAGGATTTTTAAACACATGTTCGGGTATTTTCTTAGGGGTGGGGCATTTTCTGATGAAAGAGGGGAAAGAATGAACTCAGCTTATCCTCCCCTTGTCATGGGTATTGTAATGTTACTGGTATTAGAATTTTGTTTGGAGGTGCAGAGAAGCAGCCTTTTCTCCCCAGAAATGCTCGAAGGAATCTTGCTTGGGGATGGAGTAGTTGAACCTAGTTCATCCATCTTAGTATTAGACTTTGTTTACATTTCAGCTAAACAAATACATGGCACAGAAATGACAAATAAGACTCAGCAAATATAATAACTCTAGCAATATAATCAGCATATAAGGTACATAGGTGATATGTAGGCCTAACACTATCTAACATGAATTAGATGAGGAAATTTTATGTTTAATTATTAACACTATGGTAATTCCTTTTATCATTAATGTTTGCTTGCCTGCCTCTACACTCTGGCTAAAATGTTGATATCAACAAGAAACAACATTATTTTATAATCAGGCCAGACCAATTTAAATTTAAACATGGATGGAAGCAAAGTAGTTTGTATCCATGGTAAGCAGTTATGTGACTGTAGACAAGTTTGCCTGATCCCAGATTCCTCTTCTACACATAAAAGAATCTCTAAGGTTTTCTCTTTTCTGCAAAGTATGACAAAGATATTTCAACAGTGGCCATCCCTTTCTACTATAGAATACAATAGTATTTTTAAGTAAATTTCTTCTTCAAGTTATTCATTTTATTGGCTCAATTAATTTAATTATCTTAATACCCCCTTTTTTTTTAGCTGGTCAAGATGTCTTTGGAAATTTCTTAAAGTCTGAGTTCAGTGAGGAGAATATTGAGTTCTGGCTGGCTTGTGAGGACTATAAGAAAACAGAGTCTGATCTTCTGTATTCTAAGGCAGAGAAGATATACAAAGCTTTTGTGCATTCAGATGCAGCTAAACAAGTGAGTGTTAAGTTCATTATTATTAGTGTCTATGTAAAAGAATTTAGGTGCACATATCAAGATGAAATCCCATCTGAGTATCATACATACTCTCTTACATAGTTCTATATAGTTAAGTATGTTCACATAGTTCAGTGTAATGATTTATTCTTAGTATCTATGAAGATTTCAGCATAGAAAATGAAAAAAAAAAGATTTAGCAAAGCTATTTAACATGATAGGGGTGGGGAAGAGAGTAAGGGTGGTACTGCCAGACCTCCATAGCAGAGAATCCTTAATAAGCTATCATATCTCAGATAAGATATAATACAGTACAATATGTACAATCACAGAAGCAAAAAATGTTCAGTTAAGAGCAGTGTTTATCTTCCAGTAAAATATTCTTGGCCCAAACAGAAAATAGCTACCCAAAGTATGTTGTCATCCAGTAAATCTTAAATGCCCATGTCACTCTACTTTGTTATATATCCTATCTTAAATAGATATTAAAACTTTTCATGTCTTCCCCTTTTCATTTCTCAAATGCATATGACAAAACATAGTGGAAAAACTTGGGGGATATTTCTTTCTGTCTCTTCCACACCCAGTATAGAGCTGGTTTACAATTGGCATTCAAGAGATATTTAAACTGATGTAAATGAGGATGTAAAACCACTTTCTTGAAGAACTTCAAAAAACCCAGTAACATCACAAACTTTACCATAAATGGGAACTGTATATTAATAACCATGGATTTTATTTTTAGATCAATATTGACTTTCGGACTAGAGAATCTACAGCCAAGAAGATTAAAGCACCAACCCTTACATCTTTTGATGAAGCCCAGAAAGTCATATATTCTCTTATGGAGAAGGACTCGTATCCCAGGTTCCTAAAATCAGACATTTACTTAAATCTTCTAAACGACCTTCAGGCTAATAGCCTAAAGTGAGTAGTTCCTGGCTGAACAGAGTTAAAGGATGGTATCAAGGATGGAAGGAATGTGCCAGTTTGGCTGCCTGGGTGAACAGTTTGGCCTGTTTTGGTGACTTGACAGGCCTGAGGAAGAACAAATGACTCAGAATGGATGAACGTGGATGTTATCCAGTGCAGGTTTGAAGAAGCCTAAGCAAGAAGAATGCTGAGACAATAAAAGGAAGGAGAAACTGTGGCACTCTCATAACATACAGTGGACATCTATATTAGAAAACCCCTAGAGCTAAAAAGGCCAGGTAACAGTCTACATAGAAACTGTGAATAAAATTCATGAGACTGACTATAGCATGCTGTAAGCTTCAAGGTCAACTGACAGCTATGCTGCATATTATTGTGTAGGAACTGTACTGAACTGCTGAAATCTCCTTATGTGTTTCACTCCACCATTATTATTATCAACACAGAGGTATTTGTTTTGTTTGAGTATATTCAGGTTGGAAGTGATAAACAGAACAATGTGTTTAACTTAAGCTAGTGGCCTTAAAACTAGGAAGTCAGAATATATTTGTAAATTAAATTATCACAGTGTCATTAATAAATGTGAGTTTTGTATTAAAATATATATAAACAAGTCTTTTTGCCATTTTTCATTGCCATTTTTTAATCTGGCATTTTTTTCCTCTGATTAAAAAAAAATTGAAACAAGGGCCGTGACTTTCTGCTAGCTATTAAATATCTAAAATTGTTAATGAATATTATATTTTATTTATTAAATTGGGCAGAATTCATCCATTTTCTCTCTTCTGTCACCATAAATTAAAATCAAACAAATATGATCTCATGAAGTCCAGCTTCAAACAGATGAGAAATTAATGTAGTCTGTTATAAAGAGACAGAAAAGTTATTTTAAGAATTAATTCAATTAACAACTGACAGTTTGCTGTGATTTAATGTTTGTTAAACTCAGATGTATAATCTGAAATATTTTTTTCATTCAATGTTCATAACAATGGTTTGAAAGCTGAGACCTAAAAAGATTAAATCACAAACTCCCCAACTTCACCAACTCTCAGAATTACCTGAAATTCTTAAACACATAAAGACCCCTATTTTGGGACCTCATCCAGGCTGACTTAGTCAGAAATTCCAGGGGGTAGAATATGGGAATCTATATTTAAAAGGAAACTGCTGGTGATTCTGAAGATGATTTGAGGTGTGACAATGCTAGGGAGTGCTCACAGGTTTGCTGACTATAAACCCTGTGTTTTTTCCTACTGTACAATACTGCCACCCACTGACCAGAAAACATTTCCTAGATCACCGAAATCTACAACAATCCCAAGTGTCACTCAATAGGAAAATAAGACTCCCCTGAAAGTATCAGCTATCAACACCAGGAAAATAATAGATACGGCTGACATATTCGTGTATAAATTGTACAGTTGAATCTCCCCATGCACCTGTGCTCCATATCTTATCTAACAATCTGCCATCTCCATATCATAACAAACTACGATGCATATTCTCACTACAAGTTTTCCCAGTCATCAGATGATAAGGAGCAATATGTACAGCAGGTTTAAAAAAATTACTCTTAAGTTTCCATTGGACTGAGTCTAAATTAGCTCTACCTTAGGTTTTATTCAATGCTTTAACCGGTCATATTATTTAATATGGTCATTATCTACAAGTTTCTTGCTCCTCTTATTCATTCACCACCAAATCTTGTCAATCTTCCTTCTACAACCAGAGTCTGTGGTATGTTATCTGGTCACTTCTATTCTTCCCACCCTGGTATAGGCTCTTGTTGCTTGCAGTTCACACAGCCTATTCTCTCTCTTTCCAGCCTCTTTTCTCTAATTCATCCTTTAGTAGACTACATACAGCTTCTAAAGTACAGATTTAGACAAATAATTTTCCATGACCTATAAAAGGATATTGAAATGTCTCCTTCTGGAGTTCAGCCCGTCACCCAGAGTGACTTTCTCAGTACAGTTTCCATTATTCTCCTCTGAGTACCTCTCCTACTTTGACCTCACACTGGACTACTCACCTGTTTTGCACAAGCCTTGTAATAGTCATGGTTAAAAACTCTTTTCATAATCTCCAGGTCTTTGGTGAATCTCTGCTCTCTAACTGAAATAACATTTCCTTCCCTCTTCCAGTTTTCAAATACAACCAATTCTTCAAGGTCCAGATAGATTAACTTTTCCGTAAAGCCTTTCAATGACACCGTACACCATAACGCAGTTATTTTCAATGTCTAGTAGAGATGAACTGCAGTCCATATAAACACAGGACACTCTGCTCCTATTTTAAGTGCTACTGTCATATTAAATAGAATCCAGGCCCTTCGGACTCTGAGGAGTGAGCAGTGTAACTATCCAACACACACAGACTGGTCATAAAATGAATGCTGCTGGTCTTTGTCTAAATAAATTGTCATGTTAAAGAGCTACCCAGTTTTAGATGGATGGTCAAAACAAGTGTCTAAGACACCACCTCATTTGGAGAAAAATGTCATCCTGGCTGCATAGGAATAAGCTAGCACAAGAAAATTGAAAAGCAGATATGTACTGCTAAATCCTGGAATAAACTCTAAGGTGGAGCTAATTTGGACTCAGTCTTAGAGAGCCAAGAGTGATGCTGTCAACCTGACCAACATATCGCTACTTTCCCATTGCTTTTGCCTTTTCACTGGCATTTTTTATTGTGGTGTGACTGTTTTATAAGTTCATTCACAGAAATGTTATTAGTGCTAGTGACATCCATGATTAAAAGAAATCTGATTCAGCTACTCAGTCTGAGATTCTCAGCTGATAGGCTAATGTTGTGTTGTGGTACTAAATCAGAAGCATTGGACTTGTTTCACATTATTTTGGATTACTTCTTGTATGTCTACCTCAGCAAGCTAGAGATCTATGGAAGTAAAAGTAGGATAATGATGCAGGCAATGATGTCTAACTAAAAAAAATAAAAAGCATTTACTCGCTTGACCCACATGGGGTAAATTAATGTTCAGTTTTCTTTGCTTCTGTGTGCAAATGTGAGCTATATTATTCTATTGGGGATCTTTAATTATTTATTATTGAAAATTAGAAATCCTGAAAATAGAGTACAACCTGATTTAAAATACCTTAAATATAAGTTGTTACATCGAGTTGTGGGATTTCTTCAGATCAGAATGAAACCATATCTATAGAATAAAAATTACCACTGAATTTCAGAAATAATAACATCTTTTTGTTGAGTATCTTTTTATTATTGTTAGCATAATTTGTTGAGTGTCTTTAACCCTAAAACTATATCATCCTAATGGCAATTAGGAGGTGGTATTTATATACAATGGAATTTTACTCAGCCACAAAGCAGAATGAAATTCTGTCATTTGCAGGTAAATGGATAGAACAGGAGAACATCATCTTAAGTGAAGTTAGCCAGGCTCAGAAGACCAAAAACTGTATGTTTTCTCTCATATGTGGACTATAGACCTAATACAAATACAGCAATCTTATGGAAAACTTGTCACACTAAGGGGAGGTCACATACAAGAAAGGTACAATAAAAGAAGGAAACTAAGAAGGTGAATATGGTTGCTGTACTCTCTATACAAGAGTGAACACAGAATTCTTAAACCAGCTGAAACTACCACAAGAAAGGGATTAAGGTAGAATGAAGAAAAATAGAGAAGATGAATAGAGATGGGGTTATAATACACATATACATAGAAATATCACAAGGAAACTCCCTGTGTAGCTACCTTTATCACAAACAAGCAAAAATGTCATTTTTTCTCTTTCTTCTACAAAATCAGAGAATAGAAAGAAGGAACAGGTCCTGCGGTGTGTGTGGGGGGTCAAGCTGCATGTTTTCTCTGATATGTGGAATAAAGACCTAATACAAATACAGCAATCTTATGAAAAACAGGAGGGAAGTGGTGAGGAAGCAGAATAGGATTGTAAATATGGTTCAAAAACTGTGTACACATGTATGTAAATGCAAAAATGATACCTGTTTAAACTGTTCCAGGAATGGGGATGGAGGGGGGGTAAAGGAGAGCAGTGGAGGGGAATTCAAGTATGATGTATTTGGTACATTGTAAGAACTTTTGTAAATGCCACCCAGCACAATAAAAAAAAAGTGGAGCTGCACATCAAAATTGCAAAAAAAAAAAAAAAAAAAAAAGGACTAAAAGAAAAGGCAAGAAAGAGGAGGGGAGGAGAGAGAAAGAAAAGATGATAGAAAGAGGATGAGAGGTAGACAGTGAGGGAGAAAAAAGGAAGGGATGAGAAGAAGGAGAGAAAGATAAGGAAAAAATTGGCTAAGCATCCTAAATGTTCATATTAACTTACATTTCATTTGATAACACTAATGTCTGAACTGCAAGGCCTTGGATAGTTACCTTCTTAAACTGAAATTTTAAGTCATAGAGGATTTTACTGAATTTAGAGTTGTTTACCCAAATTTACTTTAATTTTCCATAGCTGTTGTTGGATTAAGCTAGGAATTTAGATTAAACTAGGAACTTGAATTAAGTTCAAAATTACCCAACTTTACAAAGCCTTGGGGACCATGCTTTGACGTGGATGATTACTCTTTAGAAAAGACCTGCCTGGGAACCTCCATGATGATTGCTAAAAGGAGCCAGGCTTGCAGTGTTAGGGAGACCATTTGCTTAAATAAGAAGAAATGGTGTATTAGAAGCAAAGGTTTTTTTGTGTTTTTTTAAGTTTGGAAGAACTCTATTAACTATATCAATTACACATCACAATTTCTTGTTCACATCCTCTTACCTCTTTTCTGTCAAATTCACAGACAGTGAAAGATGCTTAGGATCCACTCAACTGATTTTCAAAAGTTCATACTTGTGCCAAAGGGCATGCAACACAAAAAACAACAAACTTACTTCTCTAAAACCATGAGTATCTACAAAAAATTCTTTAAAGTTTCTTGACATAAAGTATTATTCAACTAACAATGCTCTGTGTTAGACATTGAATTTCTTCACCTAAGAAAATACTTGCTTTTGTTCTGTATTTAATTTAGTTGTGTTTTTACTTGTATAGTATTTGTTGACTGATTTTTGTCCTTTCTTTTCATAAGAAAGGACAATTAGAATATATTGTGAAAAATAAATACAACCCAACTAGTGGAGGAAGGAGTTGAGATCATTCCAGATGTAGAGACTAGTCTACAAAAAACCCCAGGAAAACAGGAAAAAGAAATACCCCGTGTTCAGCAATAGTGATTTAATTAGTTTGACTAGAATATATAGGTAAGAGAAATATTAGCAAGGAAAGCTACAAAGGGAGTTGCTATAGCTTGGATCTGAAATGTCCACAAAGGCTGGTTTATTAAAGGCTGAGTCCTCAGCCTGTTGGCATTACTAGGAAGTGGTGGAATCTAGTAAAAGGACAATAGGTCATGGAGCATACCTTTGAAGGGTGTATTAGGATACTGGTTCCACCTTCTATGTAGTTTTCTCTACTAGAGGCTCCACCAGGATGTGTTGCCTCACCAACAGGCCCTGAGGC